ATCTGATAGCCTCTGAGTGGTTGATCTTATTAGTTGAGCGCTGAGTGATATGCGATGGGTATCGTAAGCAGGAGGCACCTGGGAATATTCGGGATTGAGAAGGACTGGACAGACGGGAAAGCTGAATGACGTTACCACTTGGTCCCTGTCCCGTTCCGTCTCATTGAATGCCCCTAAATGCCAGGATGTTTTGTTTTCCCTCTTGGCCGATGTACCATATTCAGCCCTTATTGGTAGGTTCCCCACCCTCTCTGCAAATCAACACCCCCTACCGAAATCAAAAATAGTAAAATACCTTGGCGTCACCCTATCAGACAATTTATCATGGTCACAGCACGTTGAAAACACATTCTGTAAAGTTAGAAAGCTTTCATATTTCTCACTCCGATTGAGATTACTTTCTGTTCCCCACAAGCTGATTGTTAGATTTGTGAATGCATGCGTGCTGCCCCACTGGTTGTATTGCTCTCCAGTAATTTTCCCGGTATGTAAAAGAAAGACTTTTATTTACTGGTGAGATCTCTGAAACACATCTCTAAATGTAGTGGCATTGTCAGGGATAAACTGGCCTATTCTATTATTGACAGACACCTACAAGCATGTGAAAATTTCGCCGCCAAAATACTCTTAGACACTCACCACCCATTACACAATAAATTTTCAAAAGCTGTATCTACATCATCCACACGTTCAAGATTTAAACTTTTATTTGCACGTACTTGTGCTTATCGCAGTTCTGTTCTGCCATATCTAGCACGTCTACTTATAGACAAGGACACAATTTCCACAGAATTGCACAATTGCTTGCTTTATTGAGAAACACAATATCTACTGCTTTCATTGTGTTCACTATGTATGATTTTGTAAATTTGAATCCACAAATATGGTGTAGTTGCTGAAAATACACCCATCCGGGTGCATAAAGCTACTACTGACTTGACTTGAAGTGAAAATATCAGTTTAATTTAGACCACACATCCATTCAAGCAAGTCTGGGAGAATTATCAAGAAAAGAATACATACGCGATGTAGGCCAAATGAACGAGCACAGTAATGGAGTAGATGCACATTAACCATCAACTAGGCCGGTCTGGAGGTTTACAACAGTGGAAATGAACGAAAACTTTATGGGTAAATGCCCTAATCCAACCTTTGTGTACGGTCTCATTTTGGCCCAACTGGAGTAGAGCGACTAGTGGTCCGTCCGTATACGGGACACCCACTCTGTTTCGCACATGAACTATCGGAACCGCTTGACGTTTTATTCCAGTAGATGTCAAACTGCACAGCACTCTAGCAATTGCAGAAACACAGCGTTATTTTACCCATTTACGACTATGGTTGTCGTAGTTATCCTGCTATCACTGACCTGTGAGTCTCCTTCCAGTGCTAACCAACGTTACGCAATGCAATGTGGCGGATTTCTGACCAATCTAGTCTAAGTCTTAACATATCTAAGTGCGCAGACTGCATTTTCAGTCTTTCCCGCTCCGCATTTCCAACGAACTCTGCTACTCTTAACGGTATCCAGAATAACCTCAGTCAAGTGTCTGGGTGTCACCATCGACAGCAATCTTCATTGGTCTACACATACTTACAACTGTATGGGAAAACCGAGACACCTATCTTTTCAGTTACGCAAACTCAGGCAATTCCGAACCCCACAGTCAGTCCTGTCATCTTTCGTTCATCAATGCGTTTTACCCATTCTACTCTATTGTTCCCCTGTAGTGTTTCCCGGCCCTTTAAAACAAGACGTCAAAACAATTCGCCGTGGTTTGGTAATCATCAGTCGTGCATCATTAATTCCGATCGATTCATTAATCACAGATCTCATTGATGGTCATATCAACTCTTGTTTTAAATTTGCTTATAAGATTCTAGATAACCCCTTCATCCACTACACTCTGCTCTATGGTCTTGTCGTTCCCATCCGTCCACACGCCCCTCATTTCGACATCTATCCTCTCGCAATAACATTTATAAAAATTTCCCCGTACTCTACTTGGCCCGACTACTTACCAAAAAGGAACAGGTCTCAAATGACCTACGTCAAAACTTTTGTAAATGAAACAAATTTCACCGACATTATTTACCTTTGTTTTTTATTATTATTTCATTCACGTGAAGAACAGTGTAGAGTTCTAACTGAAATGCAAGCATATCTACTTACACTAGTTATACAAATACAAAATTTCCTAAACAGACACTTCCAACAATATAACGTTCTTTTGCCAGCTTCACATGACTTTCGACATAAGCGATCCCGTGATAACTTACGTCTTGTTTGAGATGAATGGTCGACGTAATGGTTGTGATTTATTTGGACTTATCGAGGACATTCCAACGGATCAATCGACAGGTAACGTTGTACAATTACAATTACGGCAATCAAGGTCTCGCGCATGGTTGCACTGAAGCGCTTTCCTGACAATGCAACCTTAGTCCACTGAGATTCCTCGATTTCTGTTCGATTCTACTTTCAATTTTCCTGTCTTCCTCCTACTGCTTCATCTAAATGGGCAGACAAAAAACAGCAACCAAAACCGGCACATGCTTGTGCATGGTTAATGGTTTTACAACCTGAAAACTGAAAAGTTGTCCCCGCGTGCTGATTCCCTGACTTTTCCTCAATCATAAACGATCTACCGAATGTTGTAGGGCCAAAACAATGCTGTTTGTAGACGGTCGGAAAATCTGTAATGCCGTAAGATCACCTGAGCACTGGAAGCAGATCATCAGCGTTCCATTGAGAACGATAATAAAATCGATGTCTTTCAATGCGATCCTTAGGCTACAACCGTCGATTCCTCGTGTTTCGCAAAAATTGAAAACTTTCACATGCTTAAAGCGAGATGGACCCAGGCATCGATGTTCAGGAAGACTTAAACTGTTCGATCAACTGCACCAGGTCTTCGTCTGCAATCGAGAAGAACATCGGTTCGCTTACGCGTGTCTTTAGCTAGTTGAAATCAACAACGTTCCCACATCTGCAATCAGCATATGGCGTATGTCATCTAAGCTCGAAACCTATGGCTACAATGTAATACTAGGGTGCTGGGACGTTCACAAAGGATAGCCAGCCAGAAGATCAGAGGGCTTTCTGTTATAGCACCTGAAAAACGTCAAGCGCGAACTGGTGTCAGTCTTTTACCACCAATATACACCACTTTGAACGCTCTCCCGTCGAACATCATTGGTGCACTAATCGTTGAATCAATTAATAAGGGACTTGATGAAACGATGGTATAATACTTCACAGTTCAGAACTGATGAGACCCACACAAAATAGGGGAAAAGGTTACACTCGGAGCAGAATTTGGTCTTTCTCATTTGTCATCAAGAAACGATTCAATTGTGATGACATCCTGTAAGGCAATAGAAGCATGAGCTTATAAGTAATACTCACAACAAAAAATGGACTAAAACCCGGAAAACATTGCACGCGGATTGGGATGCCTGTCTGGTAGTACGCGTAAACTATGCTCAAATATTGCAGTTGATTAACCTCCGAACAGGCAACCTGACTGACGGGATAATGCTGAAAGCGTTATTTTCGCATAATCGCTTTCACAAGCATATCTAGTAGAAAAAACTGAATAGAAACATAAGGAGCGGGGTAATCTCGAAGAACAATCCCTCCACCAGCTAGTAAACAATGGTGGAAACGGCCGTATGTAGACCCTATTTTTCCATGCCAAATGTGACCTTTTTCCTATTTTTGCAATTATTTAAAATTTATTAAAATTATTATTTAAATTTAAATTTCCAGATTTTTTGCGACAAGAAAGACCCATACTGCACCATCGGCCATACTCGACCCTCATTGGTCCATTTTTCCGCGACTTAGTACTTTCGAGCTATTTCCCAAGGTGATTGATGGCCAGTCTCGAAACTGTATATACACAGATGAACTGTCCGCTTTCCCCGCATTCTACGGTCGAGCCAAATACACAAACTCGCCTGAAGGACTGTCTTCCTTCTTCTCTCCGGTCGGGTTCCGGGGATCGTACTGGTTCGTGGGGCGTTCTCTTGTTACAGTTCGGTCGGGTCTCGCTTGGAGTACCGCAGTCGGGTGCACCGGGCATCGCTACTATACCGCTGGGTCGCACAGTTCCGCTCGTGGGTCACCGCTGACGCACGTATCGCTGGTCACGGCTCGTGCTAGTCCGTTCGTTACGTTCAACCCAACGTTAAAACAAGAATAACGTTTCCGAACCGAACGCATCATAGTGAAAGAAGAATATAAGCATTCGAGAGTTGACGATGGGTTAAAATATGACCAACTACAAACCCGGTCTGATTTTCACTCGAACACCGTTCACGTAAGGGGGGACAATGGGTGCAGTTTGCTAACAGCGAGGACCGTCAAGACGATATTGAACACGAAACTTAGTGCATGGTTTTCACAAGACGTGTTGACTCTTTTGTTTCCTTTTCAGTCAAAGTATCTATTCATACCATTCACCTGCAAATCACAGGATTTTCCCTACAGAACTCAGGGATTTCGTCAACCCTAAAACTAAGACTGAGCCTCAGACGAATAGACACGAAAATGCAAATAATACGGAGTTTCTAGGAGAAATAACGGTGATGAAGTCAAACTATAGGGTGACAACACTAATGAGCTCAGATGGACAGGTGAGTAAAAGAGAAGATTTCAGTCGTATAAAACACCACTGCGTCGTATCACTTCGTTAAGCACAACAGTGTCCGTTTTAGTTCAGAGGAGTCTACACGTCAAACATTGCATCAGGATAACTGAGAAGTTTCAGCTACAGAGGGATCGCAAAAAGTAACTTTTGGTCGGAGGGTCTTTCTCGCTCTATGTGTGTGCGTATACATTTACACCCGATGGCGTGAAACGCAGTGAAATTGGCTTCGTATGACTACCGGGCTGGTGGGGATCAGCCAGCACAACTTTCATCGGCAATCATCACAAAGGAATCGCCAGTACTCATGGTTTGACCAGTCCAAAAACTGCCAGAACTGGGTTCTGCAGAGCACGAAACTTTTTCCTGAAAGTCAATTCCATCTTATTAGTTGTATAAAGGTATGACATTAGTGAGTTTTTCGACAAACATGTGGAAGAAATGCTCGAACCATATGCCCACCAGGATCCTCGTCAGTTTCGGCGAATTGTTTGAAACAATCAAATTATGATTGGCATACTTACCGAACACCCAAATCTCGTTGTCCAACACCGCCGCGCTCAGAGCAGATCGGGGATGGAGCATGGAGGCCCGGTATTCCCACACATTTCGTTCGGGATCATAACGCTCAACTGTGCGCAGCTGACTGCACGAATCGTAGCCACCGACTGCGTAGATGTACTGGCCCACGGTAACAACACCTGACACAAGTGAAACGGGATCAACAGTTTCAGATGTTTAATGAGACAAAAGATACGAGAGGGAAGAGGTGAATAAATAAATCAAAAACAATGACTTTTGTGATGCATCGCAGATCATTCTTCAGTGTCTGCACGCATGCAAACAGCAGTCAATGTGATCTTGGAAGTCAGCCAAATAAGCAAAGTAAAACATAGACTCCGTTTCTACTGAAAACGGTTTAAAATTCATGGAACATGCCATTGTTAACCGCCTAAAGAAATTCTTGTAATACATCCATCCGGATACACATGCCCGACGAGTGATGAGACTGAGGATCTGCTTAAACTGAAATTTGGTCGAGTAATTCAGATATCACCAATCATCATATATATAACAATGAGTGTACATACGTGTATGATGCATATAGTGTATATGTATGCCTGAATATATACACCACGGGATCCATGCAGTTCGCGTACAAATACATTTCAGATGCTATTGCTTCTCTTCTCCAGTACATCACAAAACACTGCTGAAATCAGTGCGTTCTAGTCACCATGACTACTGCTCCCATTTGAACTTCATCACCGGATCACCTATTCTGCGATAGCAAGGAAATTTTTAGATGCTTGCCGCCTTTACTGATATGAAAACAAAGAGTATCAGGTTGGGTCAAAAGCCTAGCTCGGTCGTCAGTGAGCGTATCCGGAATAGTTTACGCCTCGTGTTCACCATCCACTTCTATCACTGATCTACCTGTAAACTGACCAGCTCAAATCCTAAATGCATGAAAGATGTAGCCTAAGATCAAGCTTTATCCAACAAACTCACTTTAGTCTTTGCAGAGCTTGCGGTCTTGACAACGGTCCTGATGTTACTTCAATTAAATGCATACTCCGTGAGATATTTTCCGTTCCACCCCGAAACGGCTGAGGCTGCCACGAAGTATTGTACTGTACTGTATTCAAGCTTTAGCGAGTTATATACAAGCTTTCAGCCAAGTCCTGATGTTATAACATCACAGCACGGTGCCGGGACGACGAGAGTTATTTATTTGAAGAACAGTATCGGATAGGGGTCTAAAACATTACATAGGACGAAAAATCTAACTTGCAAGTATTTTCATGGCCGTCTCTTTTCCAACGATCATAAACCTGAAAGTCTGTTTGTCTCTAATGTTGCTGCAACATTAAATCCTTGAATCCACTCGCGCAAGCCGTGCGAATCCAACAACCGCCTACTGATCTGCACAAACTACTCACAAATGTGAGTAGCACCTCAAAAGACCTGGACCCATGATCGCCATTCAAACCAAGTGAGACAGGGCCACCGACATGCTATCATGCACCGAAACATAATTCACCTATAACACTAGTACTTTAGCAAATTAAACAGAACGAGAGTTTCTCTAATGATCTGCATAGTGTCTTATTTTGTCTGCGCCCTCCTACTTATCGTCGACAAATATGCTGATGTACCTTTTAACTTTAAAACAGGCTCCAATTATCAGGCTCAATGCAATAAACTGTCAGAATTTGCAGTTAGTACGGACGAGATTCACAGGGGTAGGTCCATAAAAGACGCTGGAGTTACCTTGTCGAATAACATTTAACACATCAAACATGTTGGAACATCTATATTAGGATGAAACTACTGGTTTACTACGCCCTCCAAATTTAAAAGCTCGTCATTCCCCTGAATGTAATCGTCAAATTTTGGAGAGCTCCTATCTTTCCAGATTGGTTATATAATTCCCCGGTCTTATCCTAATTTCTAAATCAAACAAACTTCGCGCTCGTGGCACTGATACTCCCCGAATCACTATTGGTCGACTGATTCGCATAGAGACATTTTAATGCATGTAACCGATTTACCAACCGTAAACGGGCTAACTAAGACCAATCTACATATGCTCATTCTGATAAATGTGTCTCACTCCCGTACTACCACTTACCCAGAAAACATTATCCCTTATCTAGCTCGAATTGGAAATCAATGTGCACTGGGAAAAATGACCCATCACATCAGTTTCCGCTTTTCATTACAATCAACCGCCTCGTTACTTCTTAGGCGTCTCTCTACTGTACAACCTAGAAAACGCTGAAAATCCACTTTGTTAGGTGCATAAAGCCGACTTCGACCAGGTTTCCACGTTCAAACATTTGCCCTGGTCTTTTAATTTGTATTTCCAGCACTACTCTACTGTTCTTCTGCTGCTCTGGTAGGTTTTCCAACATTGATTATTCCACATTCATTTGATATACACTTGATTTTCCCTGAGGATTAGGTCTTTGAGCTATAAAGTGTGGTTGAAAACGTCCGAGCTTACGGCACGTTTTCACCCGAGTTCACCACGGAAAGTGGTGTTCGATAGGGTTGCCCTCTTTCTCCTTTTTTATTTAACTTTCTTATAGATCTGATTATGGAAACAGCCCTATCCTCGTGCGAGGATAGTGCAGGCTGTCTGATCTAGAGTATGCAGACGACATTGTGCTACTAAGTGAAGATCCAGGTAAGTTACAAGCTTTTCTGAATAGTTTGAGTGCTAGTGTAGCCAGGTTTGGTATGCGTTTTGCATCGTCAAAGAGTAAAATGCTACTACAAGACTGAGTTGGTCTCACTCTTACTGGGGAAGTAATAGATCAAGTGGATAAGTTTTGTTACTTGGGCAGCTATATCTCACCCGGTGGACGCATCACGGATGAAGTGTCAGCTCACGTACAGAGGGCTCGATTGGCATTTGCCAACTTGAGACATTTTTGGCGCCGTCGCGACATCCGGCTGTCTGTGAAGGGTCGAGTATATGCTTCAGTAGTTCGGCCAGTTCTGCTATATGGAGCAGAAACTTGGCCATTAAGAAAACAGGATAAAGACAAACTGTCGGTGTTTGAACACCGCTGTCTACGTAGCATTGTACGATTCTGGTGGGGCAGCCGGACGAGCAATGCTGAAGTTGGGCGAAAAGTTTTAGGTAACCGCGGTCGTCNATGTCTTCAAATAGGCTGCCACGGCGAGCGATGTTTGCCGAGGCAGGTAGTGGGTGGAAGAAAGCCCAAGGTGGTCAAGCTAAGACCTGACCTGAGGGTATGAAAACCCTAACCAGGAGTTTAGGTCACACAGGTCCCGTTAGGCCCCCTGGATGGGGGCCTCGGGATGGTCGTACCCGATGGTTAGAGAGACTGAGTGATACGGCTGGGTGTCGTAAACAGTGGCGTTCATGCATTTTCTCAATTTCTATATCATTAATCCACTGAACTTTTCATTTTTCTCTTCGATCCTACTTTCAACCTTTCCTGTCTTTCTCCTAATGTTCATCCAAATNTCCAAATGGGCAGCCAAAAGATGGCAACCAAAACCGGTGCACTATTGTGCATGGTTAATGGTTGTGCAAACTGAAACTGAAACCAGTGTGGCATGAGAAAAATTGCCACACAAAATCCTTCATTATCACATCTATCTTTGGCGCATTGACTCTAATTCCAGTTGCGGGCTTGCTGTGGTTCCTAAAGTCTGAAATTTGAACGTATCTATCGGTAGCTTGAAGCGGAGGTTATCAGGTTTTCTATGTCCCGGCTCAATACTACGTCCACTTTGTGGTATCTTGCAGATCCCAACTGCGGATTGGGTTGCTGCACGCCATAAACGAACAGCTGCTGGTCGGAATACTACGGGTCATCTGTTCAAAGTGTAACTCATACAATACTGTGAATTGAAAAGAAAATGTTCCCATTGTGTAGTATTAGCCTTGGGGAGGGGGCTACCAAATAGGAACACAAACACAGATATAAGGTATATGGAAGAAAAAAAGTACAGAAATCTTTCACTACTAGATCAGGCGAAGACAACACGATTGAGGTTCACAGTGAACCTCGTGGATCATTGTGACTAAATCTGTCAATCCTACAGCACGGAACAATGTGTTAGTATTGTGTAAAGCCAGCTGTTTTTTATATCGAAATAAGGTAAGCGGAACGAGAAAAAATGAAGTATATTGGACGAAACGGTGTTCGAGTAAAAAAACGAGCTAATACCTTGGGATGGGGGACAGATTAATCCGAAGGGAAGAAAATAAAGGGGTGTCAAAAAGTATTCTCTCCTACCCCTGAGTACGATGAACACTCATCCAGGTTCGGTTAAGACTGGAGAGAAAGAATGAATCGGAACACCTGTCCCCTGGTTTCCACACATTTTAACCTGATAGACAAGTCTATTTACTCAATGGAAATTTTCTTCAGCCGCGTCTCAGCTTCGAGACACAAGAAGGTGCCATCGTGGTTAATAATACCAGGTGTACAAAGAAAGCACTAAAAGTGAAACTACACCTATCAACTCCGATTCGGGATACTTGTGAATTTGTTGGACCAACCTAACAGACTTGTTTGTTGGAGGACAGCGCATACCATAAGCACGCAACCCGCTGTGGTGGTTCTGATGCGAGCAAAAAAGGAGGAGAACTGTGGTGAAGTCGGTTCCATGGGAGGTATGTAAGGGGATGGGTGGGTAGATTAGGGCGTGCACACCGGGATTAAGCAATTTCAGTACCGGGTACCCCATTATCACGCTGAAAGTATGATCCGTGAAATAAGCTGTTNNNAATCTGGTGCAATGTTTATTTATGTAGGCACGGAAAATGTGTTCTCCCAGCGCTGCAGCCTGATAAATTAAATGGACCGACAACATTCTCCACGAAAGCGGCTACCTGCATCATTTCATAGATAAAAATCGGATAGATGAACTGAAGGGATCGATGGTGCAATAGCTAATAGGAAACCATTATACATTCAAGTGATATCCAAAGGCGATAACACAAGTGAGTAGCTTATTTGAGGAGCCGATTGAGCGTTAAGCCAAACGTTTACAACAGCTGAACTGCATACGAAGTTCATCACGTTAAGAACAATAAGTCTTCAGTTCAAAGACAAACTGCTCCCTCTCCTCATCTCACCCGTATCGAAGCCGCCTCGTTGTGGCTTAACGCGTTCACTTGTTCTTGTGCAGCAGTAACACCGACCAACCTACGAAACAGCTGACAAACACGCGGGCAGCACCCCTGATAGTTGAAACACGGTGAAACTAGGACCGGGAAAAGAAAAAAACGTACCAATAAATACTGGAAGCAGGGCACTTGGCTAAGTTTAATCAAGCGTGCTGAACCATGTATCACATGCCGTTATCACTATCAAAGGGAATTCGCCTAATCATCCTGTGAACAACCCGAACGACTGCTACACATATGCAGAATACCCCTTCCCTGTTGTGAGAACCAGTTTATCCGGGCTTTGGTTTCGCCAGGTCATCACATGGCGGAACACGATAATGCACTTCCAGTGGCGAATTAGTATTCACATTTTACAACTATTAAACATACATTTTCGTGCGCCGGTTTTGGTCGCTGCCTTTCGGCCGCCCATTTGAACAAAAGAGCAGGATGAAGATTGGAATGTTGAAAGCGAATCAAAGCGGAAAATAGAGAATTCATATAAACTGATGTTGCAAGAATAATAAGTGGGCGTATGAGTACCACGTCTTGCGACACCCAGCCATATCACTCATTGTCTCTAACCATTGGTGACCATGATCTGGGGGACCCCAGACAGGGACTTATGTGACCCAGTCAATTGGTCAGGGTTTTCGTAGCCCCCTACCAGCTCTTCGTTAGACCACCCTTGACTTTTGCCAACCGCTACCTGCATCGACAAACGATGCTCGCCATGGGAACCTATTTGGTGACAAGTGAAACACATGCCGCAACCAGCGTAATCTATGGAGGTTGACTACTGGCTCCAGTGGACGACCGCAATTACCTGAAGCTCTACGCTTAACCGCAGCTTTGCTCGTCCGGTTTCTCCACCAAACTCGTGCGATGCGACGTAGACAGAGGTGTTTGAACACCGAAAAGCCATTTTTACCCTGTTCCCGTAGTGGCCAAGTCTCTGACCGGTAGAGCATGACTGGCCGAACTACTGCAGCATATACTCGACCCTTCACACACGGCCGGATGTCGCGACGGCACCACAGATGTCTAAAGTTGGCAAATGTTAACTTTCAACTTTCTTTTCTTCTCCTATTCTTCATCCAAATGGGCAGCCAAAAGATAGCAACCAAAACCGGCACACGAATATGCGTGGCTAATGGTTAAACTGAAAACTGAACTGAACTGAAATGCCAACCGAGCTTTCCGTATACGCGCCGACAGTTCATCTGTGACACGTCCGCCGGGTGAGATACAAGTGCCCAGATAGCAAGATTTATCTACTTACCATGAAACGTCCCCAGCCGGGGTGAGGTTGGGGGCTGGACTAGGCTCTTAGTAATCAAACTATCGAGAAAAGCTTACAACTTACTTGGATCTTCATTCAGTAACCCAATGTCGTCTGTATAATCTAAACCAGACAGTCTGCCACCTGAGAGTAAATCAATCCCGCTATCCTCGCACGAGGATAAGGCTGTTTCAAGAATTAAATCTATCGCGAAGCTAAACAGAAATGGAAAGAGAGGGGGCAACCCTGTCGAACACCGCTTTCTGTGGTAAATTCGAGCGAAAACATGCCGTAAGCCCGGACTCGGCTAATATTATGAATAGATTGCAATACTGACCCTCCAGGGAAAAGCAGCGACAGAATTGAAAGCAGTCGACTGAGTCGGAAGTCGCTCTTCAGATCGAGGAAGACAGAAATGGCGGGTCTACGAAAGGAGTGTTTGTATTCTAGAATTTGACGGGGTGAAGATGTGGTTGATACAACCTCGACCAGGTCTAAAGCCAGTCTGGTTCTCATGCGTGCACTCTTCACGGGTGGCAGACAATCGACGGAGTTTAATACCAGCGAGAAGCTAATGGACGATGTTGATCTAACTAATTCCTCTGTGATTTTCACAAGAGTACCTGTCGCCCGTCTTGTAAATTCATATGAACACCGATTCACACAATTTTGTTGGAACCTCGTCCTTCTCCCACACTGAGCACAGGAGTTTTTTCAACTCCAAAACCAAAGCTGAACCTCCATCCTTAAAAAACCGACGGAGATAGCCCGTCCGGGGCGGAAGCTTTATACCTTCTGAAGTAATTGACTTCTCGGCTAATCTCCATTTCAGATGAAGGACTGATGTCCAATAGCACTATTAGCCCAGTTGATGCAGGTATATGGAGGTCTTATATCGACGGGGGCCGTAAACACAATACACTCTGCTCTGCACGTAGTTCGATTCATTCATAGCAGATCGGACAACGCAAATAACCTTGATGCAATTGTACTGGTCAGTTGATAAATTATTGAAAACCTACAAGGCTTCGTTTTCAATCAGCACATTTGATCAACGTCAATCTGCAAGGGAGGCAATGTTGTTAGCGTTTGTAAACTGATTCAATTCAGTGTGAACAGCAAGGAAAACCGATTGATGTTTGAGTGCTTGTGATCGAGCTAGGCCGAAAAGCCAGTTAGTCTTTGGGGGGTATTTGCAGACGCTTGTGATTGATGTAGAAGTAAGATCATCGATAGCAAAACGAAAAACGTGCTGAAAACAGGCAAACTGGCCCTAAATCGAGCGAATATGAGTGCAACAAACTGTTCGTCGCGAACTGAAGTACGGGATAAATATAAAATTGGAACATCAGAAACACAGAGGAACTATTAAATCGCATACAGAACTGAACACTCGCAATTATATATATATATATATATGTTTTCAAATAAGCCTAAGCTGTTATCAGTACGGTAGTGGAAGTAACAACGAGAACAATACCACAAGCAACCAAACCAAAAAGTAGAGCGAAAGCGTGGCGGGTAAGTGAGACAGAAATAGACTGGATTGGCCGTTTATCGTCTGGACTTGTCTGAGTCCAGCTGGACCAGACCAAACCAAACCAGGCCACGAAGCGAGCAGACACCATGTGGTCCAAAACCGACCAGGACGGCCCGAGGCGTGGACACACGACGCGTGCCAGAGCGAGAAAAAAGGAAAAATAAAAACAATTTGGTTTGCAGAGCTCCGAAGTCGCACGCTCTTGTTGTTGTTGTGGTAGTGGTGGTGCGGCGTTGCAATCCGGGACCTCGCCTTGCCGCGTGAGAGTGACTGTTTCAGTTAGGTAGTCAGTCGGTCGGTCGATCAGTCAGTCAGTGGTACTCTAGACCTGAGTTTCCTGTGCGACCGAGTAGAAATACACAGACAGACACAAATGAAACCTGTCCTCCCAACACACACACGCACGGTGAAAACCAGCTGAATGAATCGATCGGATGGACAGGCCAGACTAGGGTGAGCCGAACTAGGATAAGACGAAGTGCCGAACGAACACGATCGCGACGGACACGTGTCCGTAATCAGTGATTAAAAAGTTCGACTAGTAAGTGCGTCAGTGCCAGACAGAGACGATCACCGGGTGATCTATGTGTGAAACCTAAATTGGTCGCGTCGACAAATAGCGCAAAAATCAATGCAATATTTGATGTGCTTACTTGCTAATGGCAACTAATAAACTGATTTCCAAGGGACAACAATACTCGTTAGACCTACACATTGTCCACGTGCCTCAAACATTGTATGGCACTGTATTGTCAAGCTTACAACGCAAATGTATTTACATAAATGCTAAACAGTTCACTGAAAGTGATACCAAAGAACTGTATAAGCTTGACAAACCTGGGAAGTTGAGAGATAACTGGGACACAGCTTAACAGTACCAGATTATGGTTCAGCCATAGCATGAACTGATTGGCGCAGTGGTAACGCACACGTCTTCCATGCGATGGGTCCGGAGTTCAAATCCGGAGTGGGACAGTGGATATGCACTGCTGATGAGCTCTAATAAGAGTGAAACCCGAGTCTAGTGCTTCCGAGCGTATGGTCGAATCGATGAAGTGATGACTGTGCGTGAAGGTGAAGTCCGAAGGATAGTCAGTTCAAATTAATTAAAACGGCGAATTTACGACATCGGTGAATGCCTGACCAATACTATTCTGGTGAAAATAATGCGGCAAAGCAAACAAGTTATTCGAGTGAAATCCTCTCTCCGCAGTAAATTAATGTTAGACTCACAGATTTAGCCACTGCGTAAAGGACATGGCTGATCCCTTTTGTCTCTCTGTGATAGTCCATCCACTAAACAGGGATTTTGTTCAGGATTGCTCACTTATCGCAATTGCTGATCAGTGACCTGATATCAACGGAACCTTAGCTCACGCAATTCGCACCGAAACCATTACCATTGGTTATGTCGTACAATGACAGACAGAATAAAGGGATACGCTAGGGCAAGGAGACGAAACCATTAAGCCGGATTACCAGAAACAGTAACCACAGCCGGTCGATCGAAAACCGCTATGGGTGAAGAACACCCGGCATGCTATTGCACTGAGTTATCTCCTACAAGGTGTGCGTAGTTTGTGATTCGAACCAAGTGTGAACAGAGACCAGCTTTTGGTTCTGTTTTTTTTTTAACAAAAACCACAGTATACCCGAACGAAACGAATTAAGCTTCCATTAGTTTTACTTAATGTGTGATCAACCTGACCTGTGTTTGAAGATCAAGATAATAATTGGAAGCTGAAGCGTGGCAAACGAAAAGATCGCCGCACTTGACCTTAATGGCCACATGTGAGATTAAGTTCCCACAATAGACATAGACCCTCACACCTTTGAAGCATTCGAATGCTACCACATTAGCTTCTCCGCTACATTATTTCCTGAAGCTGTCTTTAGGCATAGTTCGTCGTTGTGTCATCGTTCTTCCCCCATCATTTTACTATTAACGTGCGGTTCACGCTTTCAGGTTACCCGATCACTCAATCGAGCAGGTAAACCTCCCGAAACTCCTTCATACGCCTCATCTGACGCTCCCCAATTCTTTTAGATGCCTAGGTGCCATTGAATGAGTAACCTAGATGGTGACTTTATGTTTCGCTTTTTCCAAACATTTTTGGGATAACATGGAAGGCCACTGAAGGGTACTTCCCTCCCCCCTCCCCCACCACCACAACAAAAACAAAGAAATAATGAAAGCAGCTCTCGAGGCGAGAATGAGACCTCGACCACGATCGAGGCAAGGAGTATGACAGAGGTAATTTAATTTATATATAGACTTTCGTAAAGGTGAATTGAAGGCAACGTTGTTGCTCAATGAAAACTTGAATGAGTGATAAATAAGCAATAACGGTTCGCGCAGAAACAAAACTGGCTCGTCTATTCCTACATTCGAATAGACAATGGATCTCAGACGATCNACGATCACCGAGAGATAAAGTTCAGAAACGGACTTAACAGTACCGCGCTGAACAGGTCGACAAAGACGAGCACTTAAATGAAGGGTGATTTGGTCACAAAGGATAACGCGATTTGGTACGAAAAAGCAAAAGTATGGGAACACGACCGACAGCGAACATAGTGGAATAAAAGCGTACACTGAGGTAAAAAAGATTCCGAAAGCTTTCCACGCCTCGGTACAGAAACGACGGGGACACTGAGCGTGAATGTGCACTTACCAGCTCCCGATCGAGCACGATTCAAACTGGCCAGTTCTTCCCAGGAATCGGTCTCCGGATCATATCGCTCAACAGTGCCTAATCGCCGTTCACCATCGAATCCACCGACAGCATAGAGTAAACTGCACAGATTGAAGTGACACAGACACAGAGAGACAGATGAAAGAAAAACGAATATATAAACAGCGTTACGATCTTATAATTTATATAGGTCCTGATACCAGTTTTCTTTCTAACGCTGATAGGATAAAAAATTGAAAATCAATCAAACGTACATCTTATCTTTTATCGGTGAAATTTGAAACGTATTACTCCTCGTTTTGATCGTTCGTGTAATCGTCTTGGTGATTTCTTGTTAAATCCGTTTTGCACTCTAAACAGACTTGCACTATCCAAAGGACATGTAAATTTAGATGGCGAATGTTTAGATTAGCCCATTCGGTTTTTCGCAGGCATCAGACACTGTGGATGACGTTCGGTGTAGGACGCAACAATTACGCACTGCTGATGAGTCCCAAACAGGACAAAACAACTGTTCAGTGCTCTTTCTTGGTTATCACAAACATTTCCACCTCATTTAAAGACATCTACGTGACCCAGGGGGGTCTATCGACGGAGTTCGCTGTGTTTCCGTATATTGTTCGCCTATTAGTTGCTCATCCCCACTACCTCACACTCATCTTACTCGTAACCAGCTTGGAATCCATCAGTTCACCGATCGACACACGCGCACGCACACACTTCCATTGTTCCCGTACCTCAAGTGATTGGTAGTTTTCCCGCGTGTACTTGATTGACTGGCTGTCAGCCACTGGCCCTTTGAGCATGTGCACTTGTCACCTGAGGCATTCTGAGCTTTGACTTTAGTTGAACTGCACGCATTGGTAGTAGTTGGGTCAAACATTTATATTCGGGTTCGTAAGCTATCATTCTACGCCTTTAGGCTTAAAAAGCTCAGCGTTCCCCCAAATGTAATCCTTAAATTTGTGACTGCTTGCATTCTTCCACATTGGTTGTACTGTTCCCCCATATATTTTCCTGGTATGAAGGAGAAAGACTTTATTCCCTTTTCCAGATCTCTTAAACTTCTTTCTCGTTGCAGCGGCATTTCATAGACCGTTTTGGTTGACTTTATTGTGAGCAAGCATTTTGACTCATGCGATCGATTGATCAGCCATATCCTGTCCAACGAAGAACACTGCCTGCACTCTCATCTCGATAAATCGGTCTGTCATTCGAGTACCCGTTCCCAATTTCGGATTCTTTATGTACGCACCATTACACATAAAAACAGCATGATCCCTTATTTTGCTCGCATCTTAATCAACCGAGCAAATATTATTGCTGACTTGAGCAATCATCTATCACATTAGGATTTTACCCAAATCCGTTTGTTTGTCATTTAGTAAATGTATATTTCTTCTTTTTCCAATACTTGACGTTTTCCCTACTGTAACATGTCGAAAATGCTGAAAATTCATCCTATCGGGTGCATAAAGCTTTACTTGACTTGACTTGAACAATTTGACAATCTTTGAAGGCTCCTTTGGACACAGCACAACGCTGTTTTACTTTGACGCACTATGATTGATTGTGTTCTATCAGTGAAAACAGGCACTCCCCAACTTGGCGCACGATCCTATTGATTATTCGTTGGCCATAACAGTGCCACATTTCAAGGTAATCTCATGTTCTGTTGACTTTGGGATTTGCGCGTCACTCGATCATTAGGAAGGAATTCCAGTTACTGTGAAGTACTGCTCGCATTTGTGAATAGCATGCAAAATAGTGCGGTTGGTGGTTTCTTTCAACGATCAAAAAATTAACAAGACCACCGAGGGCACATTGCTGTCTCAAAGAATAATTACCGACTGCTCCATTCATTAGCCAGTGTGCTGCCAGGAAATGCGATGATTTGTTTAAGATGAGATTTCTGTTATATGTATGCTAAATTAGTGATATCCTAACTGTTATCTGCAATAAACAACTATTCTCGACCGAGCACCACCTTGTGGAATAATAACACAGTGTGCAATTTTGACATCACAGAATCTTGTCCAGAGATTATACATTCCTCACTCAATTTCACGCTGCACCAAATGCGTCTAAAAACATTATCTACACAGTAATTCACATTAATTGCATACTTTTCTCAGGGCACATATACAGGGGAACAGCGATCAGTACGACAAAGAGCAGTGACAACGCAGTTGTCATGATCCTGCTGAGACAATGCCTCGGTAGTGATAATTCTATTCAGTCTGGGCACAGTCGAGGCGGGGAGAGAACAATACGACATGCAAAGCACTAGATTGGTGTTGATCTTAGGGTTGTTGTTGTTGGTGGTGGTTGTGGTTATCATCTGGTGTCTTAACTAAAATGCAGTCAGACATGGATTCACGATAAGACGTCTGATAGAACCGTTCCCGTTGGTCTGTTTCTTTGTAACCAATTGTGATCTTTGTATTTCATTTCTCCGAGCAGATGACTGCAGAATTAATTTTCACGAGGGAGTAAGGCGTAAGCCAAGTGTTTCTAAGGTCCATGAAGATATGAGGAGGTGGCATGGCTATGGTGGGAGCGATGTATTGGTGATCCAAACCGTTGCACAAGTTTTCTTATTTTTGTTTCATTCACATTTTCATGGATGACACCCGTATGATTAACACCACGAAAAGCGTTAGAGTGCTATTTTTCATAAATCAGTGTTTCAATTCCATCGATAGGATATGGTTTAAGAAAACGGCGAAGTGGTGATATGAGTGAACATGTAAAAATGTACATGCTAAAACCTACTCAGTTTACTCACAAATATATGGTTGGTCGAACAAACCTAAAAATTACCTAGGACGATCAAATTGGAAACTAGTGCTATATGCAGCCAACAGCCATACTCGTATGATGAGAAAGAAACGAAGCAAGATATTGCGCTACTAGATAGAGCCAAACCGACATAATAGAATGCGATACGCCTCCGTGCATGTGTCGAACAATCCATGTACCGCTCCGGATGGTGTACAACACGTGACAGAACGTACATTCGGAATCGATTCATTTACAACACACGAGGTTCGTCTCTCTGACTTCTCTTGTGTGCCAAAGATAATAGAGGATGACCCGCTCCCCACTACCTCACGAACGCCAGCCACCAACTGTAATCGAACAATGA